CATTCTTGGCTGGTGTTATGATATGGTCACAGGTTTACAGATTTACCAATTCACGTCCAGAAAAAATGACTGATTCTTTCTGTTTTACCAAATACATTTAGAATTTAGATGTAGTTGATGAGAGCAATAATGCTGTTTTTGAATTCTGATGCAGATAACCGATTTGCCGTTTTCTTTGTATTCAACTTTTGTGATCGAGGCCCGGCATGGTTTCAATAAGGTACACCATGCTTCCAGCACAACCTTGTGTTTTTTATTAGTTTTTTGCTGCTTATTGAACTCCAGATTGCATCTGTTGTAAAACAAAAGTTCATCCTGTCCTGAGCCTGCCTTGTTGATGCCTTGTAGAACTTAATTTACTTGATTTCTGTTACAGCAAACGATATGGCTATACATCAAGGACATGATCAAAGGAACACTCCTTTCTGTGATACTTGGCCCACCTATCGTCGCTGCAATCATTGTCATAGTACAGGTTTGGGGATTCCGGATTCTCTCTACATTTTTTCTGTCTTTTTCATATATATAACCAATTGTCGTGTGCTCTTTCACAGCAATCATTATATTGTAGATCTATTATATTCATTGAATTTGTTCTTCCCTGTGGTTAAATGTCCAATCTTTCTCAGAAAGGGGGTCCTTACCTAGCCATCTATCTATGGGCTTTCATGTTCGTCCTGTCTCTTGTGATGATGACTATATACCCTATTCTGATAGCTCCGCTTTTCAATAAGTTCACTCCTGTGAGTATTTCTGTCTCAGATATTCTGCAAGTTCTGTAATGTTTTTCCCTGTTAGGCATTTTATCCTCTGTCCACTCTCTGTGTATGAATAGCTTCCAGAAGGGGGTCTCCGCGAGAAAATCGAGAAACTTGCTGCTTCATTGAAATTTCCTCTGAAGAAATTATTTGTTGTCGATGGCTCTACAAGGTCAAGCCATAGCAATGTGAGGATTTGAATATCTTAGATTTCTTCATACGTTCATTTATTGGTTACAAACAGTTTATGTTTTTCCACTATTGTATATAGTGTTTGGCTGTTTTTTTGTTTGTTTCCGTTCATATAGTATGTATACATGCTCACTCTTCTTCCAACATTTTACAGGCGTACATGTATGGTTTCTTCAAGAACAAGAGGATCGTTCTCTATGATACTTTGATTCAGCAGGTACAGTGGTTCTTTATGGGGATGCATGCTTCAAACTAAATGCTCTCTTCATCACTGTTTTTTTCTGTTTCCTTTTCCTGTTAGGCCAAAGCCAAAGCACAGTAAACGCAGGGAGAAAGTCAAAATTTTATGAGTCAAATTATGATTTCGAAATTTAATATTAAAGTATTTATTCTCTCTGATAAAACTGCCTTGTTCCTCTTTTGTATTACCATGAAGCATAATTAGTGTAGTGAAGCAATGGGATCCTCTTTTTTTTTTGGCAGTGCAAAAATGATGATGAAATTGTGGCTGTGATTGCGCATGAACTAGGACACTGGAAGCTTAACCATACAATGTACTCTTTCATTGCAATGCAAGTAAGCACATCTTCCTCTCTGGCCCTGTTGTTTCTGCTCATCCTCAAGTGAATCGTTTATGACTCGGTTTTCCTTTTTCTCTTGTTCTCTGGGTTTGTCGTATTCCAGATCCTTGCTTTCTTGCAATTTGGAGGATACACTCTCGTGAGGAACTCAAGTGACCTCTTCAGGAGTTTTGGATTTGATACACAGCCAGTTCTCATTGGTCTGATCATATTTCAGGTATGAATGTGTAAAGAAAACCATGCTAGTTTTATATCTTTCCACAGTAACTCATGAATCGTGGAATTCTAAAAGGCCGTGTACTACTATTTTTTGCAGCATACTGTCATACCACTTCAACACCTAGTAAGCTTTGGCTTAAATCTCGTGAGCAGATCGTTTGAATTTCAGGTGATAATTCTTCATGCCAGAAGTTATGAAGTGTTTCATCCTTTTTTTTTCTCCTTGTTTACTGTTGGGTATGGGCTAATATGTCTTTTCTTGTCGCAGGCTGACGCCTTTGCAGTGAAGCTCGGCTATTCCCAAGATCTCCGTAATGCTCTGGTGAAGCTACAGGTAATACCATAGACGGCGAATGCCCGAATGTTTCATATTGCAGTCTCTGTGGGTGAAATTGGGTGGGGGGATGGTGAGTATTTTTTATTTTTGGTTTCAGGAAGAGAATTTATCGGCCATGAACACTGATCCATGGTACTCAGCATACCACTACTCACACCCTCCTCTTGTGGAAAGACTGGAAGCCATTGATGGAGAGGACAAGAAGACACACTAAGGTGTTAAATTTCTTCATCACCATCATCAGCATCTGCTCACTCTTGTAGTTGACAGTAGGTTACTACTGTGCTAGCTATACCGTGGAGCTTTTTGTTCGAATGAATGGTAATGGAATGGAATCACACACTACGTTGTTTGGACCATATAAATATTCTGGATTTGTGTCTCGCGAGGGTATTTTATATTTATTATATTATTATAACACATATATATTTATATATATATATATATATAGGAAATGCTTACATAGAGGAGAAGAATATTTCTTGCTGTGATTATGATCGGTGCTATTATGATGGGCTTTCTTTAACCAACGGAAAGAAGAAGATTTTGTTCTCATTCTCCTAAATTACATGGTTTGAAGTTAATCATGAATTATTGTGACCCACATGTAATAGAATTGTCTATTACGTTTATTTTTTAATAAAAGAGAGGAGTAATCTTTGGCGAATGGAATGCTGCTCCTTCTGGCCACACTCCGTTATCTTCGTCTTCTTATCCTATGATTCCCATCTCAATCACTCACCACATGATCCCTTTAGACGCACATATATCTTCGTTTATATATAAACGAACATATATGTGCGTGTACAATATATATATTACTTGTCTCTACCAAATATAATATACAATGGAGTATCCAAGTTTGGATGAATAGTATTAACAGTATAGGCAAAAAATGTTTTTATTTCAAATTCAAATGCAAGTGTTTTTATTTCGAATTTAAATACAACTGTGGGTGGGATGGGGTATTCAGTAGCAATTTTCCTATAAAAAATATAGTTGGACCAAAAATTTTGTAAATGATGTGGATTATTAAAAAAAAATAGAGTGGAGTGTACAATATATGCAAATAAAGGAGATGATTGGCACAATTGAAAATTATTACAATCGAACAAAAAAATAATATTCGGTCAGGCCATCTAATCTTCCCCTGTTACACTTACAAGCTCCGTTACCTAAAGACGTTTCCATCATTTACACAAAACTCCTCACAAAAGGCGGACCCTATCATCTAGCTCACACCTGAGAGAAAGGGTAAACCCGTCATTTCAATAGTTTCCCTGTAATACTCGCCGTCAACCACATGCAAATACACGGAAACGGAAACTCAGACAGCTCACTACTTCCCACTCACCCAACCCCCCTCTCTCTCTCTCACACGGACACTCCGAAAGCTTTTATAAGTTCTTCTGATTCACGGATAAACTATTTTATATATTATTTGATTCGTTTTATTTGTTTATTGTATTCTGTCTTTCGATTTTGTTCGATTCTTCGGTCCCTTGGTCTGAGTTTCCGCTTCCGCTGGCGTAAAAGCACATGCAGCGGCGGTACCTGTAGATTCGGCGAGTCGGATTCTTTTGCCGGAAAGTTGTGCTTTTCCGGCGAGAAATGCGAAGAATCCGGAAACCCATTATCAGATCATTGTTGGCTTTTATGTGACGGAACTGAAGAAAAGGGCACGATGTCGGTATTCGATGCTACTTTTATCAACACTGAGCTCTCGAAACCAACGTCGATCTTCGGTCTCCGGTTGTGGGTCGTCATCGGAATCTTGCTCGGATCTCTCATAGTCATCGCCCTCTTCCTCCTATCCCTCTGTCTAACCTCTCGCCGGAAAAACCGAAAGCTGCGCGCTGACTTCGGCGCCATCGCCACGCCTCCGATCTCGAAGGAGATTAAGGAGATCGTGCACCACCACCACGCGCCGGCGGCAGACCACCACCACCACCACCCGGCGCAAGCCGCCCCGGCGGAGATCCAGGTCGATATCGGGAAGATCGAGCACCGGGTCGTGTTCTCGGACCGGGTATCGAGCGGGGAGAGCAGGGGAACCGCGAGCGCCAGCGAAACAGCGTCGTTTTCGGGAAGCGGCGGCGTCGGACCGGAGGTTTCGCATCTCGGCTGGGGCCGATGGTATACTCTGAGAGAGCTGGAGGCGGCGACCAATGGCCTCTGTGAAGAGAACGTCATCGGGGAAGGTGGGTATGGGATTGTCTACCGCGGGATTTTAACTGATGGAACTAAGGTTGCTGTCAAGAACCTGCTTAATAACCGGTAATGATCCTACTCAAGCTTTGCAGTGTTTAGACATTGAATTCGGTTCTTTACTTGCTTTCTAGATCAGGGTTTTAGTTTGTGCAGCTGATACTGGAAGTTTCTGTCTAATGGGTGCTCTTCAGTTGTTGATTTTGGCCTGTTTGTCTGCCAGGACATTGGAAGATGATGGGGATTATTAAGTTAATTTGAATCTTCTGCTACTTGTGTTTATGCGTTTTGATGCATATCGATACACACCCCAAGGACTTTTTCTAGTTGTTGCTTCATTCTTGCTCCCTCACCAAGAGAAAATGAGAGGTTTTTGTTCATCCCGCTCTTCCTGAATCCGCTTTTGGCTATTTAAGAGTCTTCTCGCCGTTTGTGTGAAATCCTTGTTTAGGATAATGTCCGAACCCAGTTGTTGCTCGTTTAAGAGCAGAGGAATTTCATTCATTTTAGCAAAGAATTTCATGTTTTCATGTCATCTGTCCTCTGTGTGGTTTCGGATGGATAATGTCTGTACTCATAACAGCTGCTCATGCTTCTGCATTGTGATCTTTAAGTTTTTGTATCATTCACAAAAAATTTCAGGGGTCAAGCCGAGAAGGAATTCAGAGTGGAGGTGGAGGTAATTGGGCGTGTCCGGCACAAGAATCTCGTTAGACTTTTAGGGTATTGCGTCGAAGGTGCTTACAGGTAAAACAAATAGCTGACTGGCCGAGTATCTCTTGACATCCAAATCGTTTTGTTAAGAGTCGAGAATTTATGTGGAGAATGGCAACTTGGAACAGGATGCTCGTTTATGAATACGTGGACAATGGCAACTTGGAGCAATGGCTACATGGTGATGTCGGGGATGTCAGCCCTCTCACTTGGGACATCCGTATGAACATAATACTCGGGATGGCAAAAGGGTATAAAACAAGATAGATTATGAAGTGAATCTCTAAATCCGATGTTTGTGTATATTAAATATATGTTTATCTGTTATATTTGGCAGATTGGCATACCTACACGAAGGTCTTGAACCGAAAGTTGTACACCGGGACATAAAATCGAGCAACATCTTACTTGATCGCCAATGGAACCCAAAGGTCTCGGATTTTGGACTCGCCAAGCTGTTGTGCTCCGAGAGAAGTTACGTGACGACCCGTGTGATGGGAACGTTCGGGTCAGTCTCCTTATTACAAAATACGCACGTCAGTGATAAGCTTTTGATCTCGGAAATAATCATCGTCCCCTTTTTGCGTTTGTTATCAGTTATGTTGCCCCGGAATACGCCTGCACGGGAATGCTAAACGAGAAGAGCGACATCTATAGCTTCGGTATATTAATCATGGAGATCATCACCGGGAGGAACCCTGTTGATTACACTCGCCCTCAAGGAGAGGTATTCTCAATCAAACCCTACCCTTATACACATATATGTGGATCTATCATCTACCATTGGAAACTATTAGAGACTATTTTTTTGTATAAAAAAAAAGGTGAACCTGGTGGGATGGGTGAAAGCAATGGTGGGGGAAAGGAGGACAGAGGCAGTGGTGGATCCGAAAATGGAAGAGGGTCCTTCCCCAAAGGCCATGAAAAGGGCCTTGCTGGTGGCTCTTCGTTGTGTGGATCCCGACGCTAACAAGCGCCCTAAGATGGGTCATATCATCCACATGCTCGAATCCGACGACTTGCTCTTACGCGATGTAATCCACCAAAACTTAGATATATATATATATATATATCGCATATTTCATGGACCGACAATCATACCATAATAGTAATAATAATACCTAAAGTAAAAATGGTTTGCTAAGAACATGCGTTGGCAGGATCGAAGGGCGGCGAGAGAGAAGCAACAGATTGCGACCGAGACGAGCGAAAGCGACGGTGGCTCACGTCTTCGTCCCAATGGAGTGAGATGAGGTCACTCTCACCTGTTTGTTTTCCGATTTTTTTTTTCTCTTTTTTATATTAATCGATTCGTATTTTGTGTGACATAAAAAAAAATTGATTATTTTTCGTTACTGGTTCGATGATTAGGTCTCTTTTGTAATCTTCCATATTTATGCCATAGGATATGGAATTTTTTAAAATTTTTAATAATTTTAAATGAAGCTTTTCCGACCAAACAATTTATTTTTCCTTACAACTATGTCGTGTTGTTGTTTGATACTATTAAACGGCTCATGGATGGATGGATGGATGGACCCATGTGATATTCTTTAAAAACAAAACTTTGCAAGTTGCTGGAAATTATTGATAAGATACAACTTTGGGTACAGCTGTTATTTTATATTTTATGTCATGGATTTTTCTAAAATGAAATGATTTTGTCCTGCACTATGCTTTATGAATGATTGATGGTACGTCCGTCCAGATATTTGTATTCTATTAGTCTCGTGTGTATAGATTGCATGTATCTGTTGAAATAAATGGTTATTATACAATACATCTCTAATGTCTCCACATGTAATGCAATGCAAAAACACATTTGGAGCCAAAAGAGGTGCAATAAAGACGAACAAGAATCCCTACCTTTCCGAGTCTTTACCATTCTTTGTACTTTAATATTTCTTGAAAGGAAAATGAACCAATATAAGCGAAACTTTCAATTGGGTGTAAGCATGCATATATATATATATATATGTATGTACATAGATACGTAATCTAATGAACCGATTATTTACTTATTTCCTCTCATGAAATTTTTTTCTCATACGTATTTGCAATGCACCATATATTATTTTTTGTTTTTAATAAAAGCTCAATGCGGTCCAAATTAAAAATGAAATTTGAAAAGGACGAAAAAGCCCTTAATTTATAATTGATTCACGAAAGACCCAGAAATTTCTGGCCGTTGGATGTGGGGAAAAAAATCCGCCGGTAAGGTAGACTTTTCCACTGATGAATAGAAAGCGTAAACACTGCTCGAGTGACAAATCTTTATCACATGCACATCTCAACCGTACACGTGTTGGTCTGTCGCATATCTTCGTCACAGACTCGTGACGCAAACATAATCCTTATCGTCTACCAAATCACTGACGACCTTAATTTCTCGTGTCTATCCTTGTAGATACGGCAATTTTGTGACTGGTCGTACAAGAACGCTTTTTTGAATCGTAATTTCCTGGAAATTCCTGATCTCCGTTTGTGCCGATTTTGGTACGAATCGCTGACCCATTTCTCGAATTTGATTTCTCTTTCGTGTCTCCGTGAGAAAAATCCTATATCGTGCTTGTCTTGTAGTTGTTTGGTGGATAGGAATTTGATCTGTTTTGCGGTTTCTGGGATTTTATCTTCGGATTCTTATGTGCTTGAAAGTTCTTTCAGGCGATTTGGGCAGCTTTTTTGAGTAATCTGTAGTTTTATCGGAGGATCTATCGCTTTAGGTGAGTTTTGATGTACGTATTTGTCGTTGACTCTATAATTCATTGGTTTCTCATTCATTTTATTGCCATCTCTGTGATAATACTGGGTCAATCTTTGCTTGTTTCTTCTCTTTTTGATATGGATTCTTCGGAATCAGATGTTAAGATATCGGTTTTGTTTGTCACTGATTAGATGGTCTTTTTTTCCGGAATTTGGTAATAGATTTTTAGGATCAGGCAGCGGATCTGTTGATTTGAAGTCAGTTTCCTGAGAGAATTCCGTATTCGGGAGTTCTAATGGATTCGATTTTTGGAAAAAACTTCGAACTATGTTGTTTGCTGTATTTTATACAGTGGAAGAACGGATTTGATGTAGAGGAGATTTGATGTAGAGGCGATATCTTAGCTTTTTGCTCTGATTGGCATGTTTTGTTTCCCTGCGTTAGATCTGTTGAAAAGCTCCAAACTGGGAACTCATCATGAATACTGTGGGATGAATATTTTGCCCATACCATCGTTGCGATGGATTTGATTTGGATTCTAGATAGAAACACAGTGTTCTTGTTTCATTCTTTTGTTGTTTATGATATATGTATGTGCTGGTCTTATGATGTCGGAATAATGATATGTTGCTTAATTTTCTTTCTTCTTTTCATCCTGTTTCTTATTTTCAGCGAATACTAGAACATGAGCCGTCCACAGGATCCACCGCGTGGGTTTTTCCCGTTTGGGAACCCATTTAAAATTTTATCCCCAAAGAACGCAGATCTATCGTCGAAGCTCCTCTCTCTGTTGAACAGTTTCGAGGTGAACTTGGCGGATACTATTAGGAAACTCATACCAAAACACAAGAAGGACATCCTTACCTTCTCATGGATGAAACAAGCAATGGAATCTCTTTGTGAGACCCATAAGAGCATCAAAACCCTCATAACCGATCTAGAGCTTCCAGTTTCGGCCTGGGAAGATGAGTGGATTGATGTGTATCTGGACATTAGCGTGAAACTGCTTGATCTCTGCAATGCCTTCAGCTCAGAGCTCACCCGTCTTAACCAGGGCCATCTCTCGCTCCAATTTGCTTTGCATAACTTGGAGACCAACTGCCCTAAGAATCTTTTGAAGGCACGATCTTCCCTTGACAGCTGGAGGCAACACATTGTCTCGAGGAACCAGAGAATTGAAAACTGCCACACGATCTTGAACAGCCTTGTAGGATCGTTGACTCTTCCCAAGGTGAAAAACTCGGCAAAGGGAAAAGTACTCATGCGAGCTCTGTATGGGGTAAAGGTTAAGACTTTATACATCTCTGGTGTCTTTGCTGCAGCATTTTCCGGTTCATCCCAGAACCTTTTGTATATATCTGTGTCAGACGAGCTTCCATGGGCGGAAGCTTTCACGGAAATGCAACTCAACATAAACGCAGAGATCAAAAACATATTTTTGTCAGGTGGGCTAACAGTTCTAAAAGAGGTTGAGGCAGTCGAAGTGGGCTTGAAGAAACTGTACCCCGGCATCGAAGATGGGTCAGTTCCCATTGCCTTGGAACCACTAAAGAACTCGGTCACAGAGCTGTCAGAGGGGCTGGATCTTGTTTCAAATGAAGTGGACAGCTTCTTCAAGATAGTGTTGTCTGGGAGAGACGCTCTATTGGGAAACATCAGGTCAAGTGGTGCACTGTCGCCAAAAAGGGCAGCAGGAAAAAATTTCACAGGGCAGAAGGGTGTGAAAGGGCCTTAGTAAGTTCAACTTGTTTGTACAGATGGTTTAAGTGTTCCATCTTGTTCTCGAATGTAATATGTAGAAGCTGTCTTGGTGGTCTTGTTGGGTTGAGATGTAAGGTTTGGCCTATATTAGTAATATCACTAGTTCCTTATGATGTGTGTGTATATGCATTTTGTAATCGGATTACTCCAAATCATAAATGCAATATTGGTGTTGTCTGCCTCATAACAACTGTCCAAGTTTGATATCAAACGTTGACAAGTCATATGAGCATTATTCCATAAATCTATGGCTTTACCCTTCAGATGTGCATTTCTTTGCAATTTCATGATTGAAATTATCACGAAGTCCGGAAGTGGCGTTGAACCACCCACCATGATAATGGAATCTTGTGTCAAAGGTCATTGTTCAGCCAAGCCACGGTTTTGGACCAGTTTCAAAGTCATAACCGGAATTCACAAAAGGAAATAAAAAAAAAATACCATTCTACTCATTATAATAATTTATAACATAAGGAAGAGAAGTCCACAGCAAAATTATTTGAAAGCAAAGGGAAAATCTCCGGTGCCTAATGATGTGAGATTGGGATGGATATGGCGAAAAATGATGCAAATAATACGGAAAAAGTAAAAAAAAAAAAAGCCCATTTCTTCACGGATAGTCCGAGGGGACTCGCCCTTCAAAAGGGTCACACTTCGCACGTATTTCTCCTTCTCTCCACGCAGATTTGCCAACGACCTACAAATGCTTTAGTCTCCCCCCATTTCTGCTCTCTCGCTCTCTCTCTCTCTCTCTCTCTCTCTCTCTCTGGGGTGAGTATTTCCTCTGTTTGCTGGATTTGGGGGTTGGAATTAGGGAGTAAGGAGACATGTCGGCGGAGACATGCTTCGGTGGTTCCGGCGACCAAAGCATCAAAGGAGTGCCCACACATGGCGGCTGCTATGTTCAGTACAATGTCTACGGGAACCTCTTCGAAGTTTCCAGAAAGTATGTTCCTCCTCTTCGCCCCATCGGCAGAGGCGCTTACGGTATCGTCTGGTGAGTTCTTCGGTCTTCTCCCTTCTTATGTTTTCTGGGTTTGATGAAATCCGACTATTTTGTTTAAGGATTTCCGTGTTCTTTCCCTGAAGAAATTTGACCATTTTCTTGCTAGGTGATCGAAACTTCTATTTTTACTCCTGGTCTTGTAGAAACTTCTTGGTTTCTGGTGAAATCTCTTGTTTCTATTAACGATTTCCCTAACAAGGTGGTGTTTTGTTTGGTGGGTTGTTCTTAATTTCGATTATTTTCGATGATCTTACCGATATATTTGGGCTGCGTTCCTGCATCTCGCTGAACTTGTGGATTAGGGTTCCTACAGCTGATTGATATTGCTTTCGGGGGTTTTGGCCAATTTAGACTGATTAACTCGAACTGGTTTTCAAACTCGAGATTTTGTACCAGCAGGCCATAGCTCATTTATCAATTGGTATCTGGAAAATGAGTACTGACCATTTTGAAGAAAGATTTTTCATCTGTTCATCGGTTTTTGCTTTCGATTTGCCTTGTTTGATCAGCGCCGCTTTGAACTCGGAGAATGGCGAAGAGGTAGCCATTAAGAAGATTGGTAATGCATTTGACAACATCATTGACGCCAAAAGAACTTTGAGGGAGATTAAGCTTCTGAGGCACATGGATCATGAAAATGTAAGCTTGTTTATGAAGCTTACCACTTATGTTTTCAGTATTTCTTTTCGTGGAAACATTCATTTTGGCTAACGAGGTTTTCAATTTTCATTTCAGGTTATTGCCATAAAGGACATAATCAGACCACCACAACGGGAGAATTTCAACGATGTTTACATAGTTTCTGAGTTAATGGACACTGACCTTCACCAGATTATACGCTCAAACCAACCATTAACTGATGATCATTGTCGGGTATGCATTAATTTTTCCATGCTCCGTGTCTGTAGCTGAAATTTCGGCGTTTTTTTATTTTGGAGTTACTTGCCTTTCTGTTTCAAAGCTTCAGAACTGGGGGTCAGTAATGTGATAATCACCATTTCTACAATTTGCAGTTCTTCCTGTATCAGTTGTTACGTGGGCTCAAGTATGTACATTCGGCCAATGTATTGCATCGTGATCTAAAGCCCAGCAACTTGCTTCTGAATGCAAATTGTGACCTCAAGATTGGGGATTTCGGGCTTGCAAGAACAAAATCTGAGACAGACTTCATGACCGAATATGTTGTTACACGTTGGTATCGAGCACCAGAATTGCTCCTTAATTGCTCAGAATACACAGCGGCAATTGATATATGGTCGGTCGGTTGCATACTCGGTGAAATAATGACCAGGGAGCCATTGTTTCCCGGCAAGGATTACGTTCATCAGCTCAGACTCATCACTGAGGTACTATTACTTCGTTTTGGGGCTGGTTGGATGGTGGTGTTTTTGCTTTTAAAAGGATCTTAGCCAACCGGGTCCGTTAAGAAGCTTTCTTTATAGATTGCTAACCATATAAGGTGCTTACCATATGTTTGATGCAACAAGGATCTGGTTTATTAAACAGCTTATAGGTTCACCTGATGAAACGAGCCTGGGATTCTTAAGGAGTGACAATGCGAGAAGATACGTGAGACAGCTTCCACAGTACCCGAGGCAGAACTTTGCAGCTAGGTTTCCCAGCATGTCACCTGGTGCCGTTGATTTGCTCGAGAAAATGCTCGTCTTTGATCCTAGCAGACGCATCACTGGTTAGTAGTGCATAACATCACTTCATCGCCACGACCCTTTTGCCGATGGACTGGATTTGGATCGTTCCAGTAGCCAAATATGGATCTGTCTACATAGAATATGCATATAACTCTTTCATGTCTTTTCTTTTAAAAACGCAGTGGATGAAGCATTGTGCCATCAGTACCTGGGACCACTGCATGACATAAACGAGGAGCCAGTGTGTGGGAGGCCGTTCAGTTTTGATTTCGAGCAACCTTCCCTCACCGAAGAGAATATAAAGGAGCTCATATATCGCGAATCCGTCAAGTTCAACCCTCACCAACCCCAGTCCCAGTGAGACAGGACAAGACTGTTCGATCTCTCTCTCTCTTTTTTTCTCTCTCTAATTGTTCTTTTTTTGAATCTGATGATGTCTGTAATATGAAGAACATGTCGTGAGGAATTGGAAGAAAACAGCTTTGAGAATTGTGTTTTTTATTTTTGCACAAAAAGAGTGAAGTTCTTCTTTCAACTGCTTGGGCATTATAGCCCCATCATTTGGCATAAAAGATGATTTTGCCTACATTTTTTTTTTTGTAACAGACGTTGACTTGGAATCATATTTTTGGGCCACTAATGACATTCCGAAAATGTTCATAGCACGATAGAAAACATAATGTGAAAATGGGAATCACACACACACACACAGGATTTTGTCAAGTTTTACGAATTTCTTCGAATTCAGCTTGAAGAACCAAGGTATCGTTCACAAGGTAGCCCGATGAAGAAGCATCTTGAGAGAGGTCCTTGAGAGGCATGAACTTCTGAAACCCCAATGTCGGATCAGAACTTCCAAACCAGTGGTTAACTGTAATAATATGGAAAAAAAACAATGATTAATGTAAGATATATAATCAAAATCTAAAACCCTACAAACCCGTAAAGGAACTTTGGATACGCTGTCTCTGCAGGTTTTTGGAGTGGTTGGTCTGATTCAACACTCTGAGTTTGGCTCTAGTGAAGGTGGCGGGTTTTGTTGCATCCGACAAACTCAGGTAAACAGCCAACGAACTGCCCCACCCATCCCCATCCCCTCCTGGTCCAATTTGCAACTTCCTATTCATAAATTTATACATATAAAAAAACCCATCACTTCAATTTCCGAATTGGGTATCTATCTATGCAGAGAGAGAGAGAGAGAGAGAGAGAGAGAGAGAGAGAGAGAGGTACCAAAGGCTACCACCAACTGGAAACTCGTCCGAGTGGTAAAACTTGACCTTTTCGAGAAGGGAGAAGTGAGTGATCCTCCATGTGAATGTGTCGAGAACCATCTTTACTTACTTTGATGAAATCTGACTCCCATTTCCGAGTTGGATCCCATTTAATACCCACCGCCATTGTTACGCGGTTTTGGTCTTTCTATAATATCCCAGTCAACGTCTCCCCTTTCTTTCTTTAAAAAAATAATAATAATGTAAACGAAGTTTGACGTGGTATGTTTATTTTCTTTTGTGAAGAATATCTCACAATTCCTCAACTTATTTGATATAATATTAATTTTTAAATTTTTAAGTGTATTTATTTATTCTCAAATTCATATTTTTTAATAAAATAATTTTTAAACTTGTATTTTTTATTAATATAATAATTTCTAAACTTATATTTTTAAACACACTAATTCCTAAATTTTGTTTTAGTCAATTAATATTATAGATGATTATAAAATTGTTAAACAAATTTAGAAATTATTGTATTCAAAAATATAAATTCGAAAATAAATAAATGCACCTACAAATTCATAAATTAATATTACCTTTAAAAAATTTTGAGATATTTTTTTCTATCCATTAAATATTTGATTTGTTTTATATGACAATATTGGGCTTTGATGACCCCAACATTATAAACCTAATGGGCCTTTATTTGTTTTTTTTTTAAACAAATAATAATGTAAACGAAGTTTGACGTAGTCTGTTTATTTTCTTTTTCATTACATGGCCCAGGCCCATTAAAAATTCGATTTGTTTTATGATGACAATATTGGGCTTTAATGACCCCAACATTATAAACCCAATGGGCCTTTATTGGGCTCTTGTGCTTAAAAAACGATCCCATGTGTATTCTGGAGGTGAATGATGACGTGTACGCTTGGATATTATTCACGTCGAATCATCATCACTGTCCTTTACCGGTTTATCCATACCGCCGGTTAAACAGGAAGGTCAGGTCTTCCGCACGATCGAGAGACTGGTGACTGGTCCCCCCAGTTTCCGGTTCCCATCATTTTTAACATATATTTAATAATTTAAATAAACGAAAATAATTCGCTTTGCAGAGTATTCGAGGCAGTTTTAGCTAGATCGCCTCATCCCTCCATCATCTCAATCTTCTTTGTCGTAGAGTTCGTCAACACGTTCTCTGTCCTCTCTGCCTCCTCCATCGAATTCACACCGTTTGAGTTCTCATCTATTCAACTTTCTGTGAGTATAATCGGTTTCCCTCTTCTTACTTTGTTCTCCCCGTTGACGAACAGTTGCGGTTTAATCTGGTTCCTGTCCGAGATTCGATACTGTTTTGATTGATTGTCTTCCTTGTTTTCACGTCTTTCGGGTTTTGGTTATGTTTCGGTAGATTTGGGGTCGCTTCATATTGTTGTTACTTGGGTGATCTTTTCTTCTTTCTTTTGGTGCAGGATTGGTGGTTTAATCCTGTACGTCTTTGCGATCAGTCTAGTCTGGATTCATTAGATCAACAGAAAATCATATGATGATCATGATGTTTGCGAACTGAATCAGTTTGATGTTCTTGTTGCGAGTTTAACGGTTTAGTTTGGTTTATGCAGTCTAACTAGTTACTAGTATAGTTTACCTTGAGCTGATCTACCGTATTTGTTCTAATCCTTTTGCATAATTGAATCACTTGATGCTCTCCCTTATCTTTACTTCTCACATGTATCTCCTTAACGGATGAGGTATTCTTTCCCAAGTGATGCGTGGAATCATTTACAATTTCCCACCCTTTCCTGTGTTTTCGCCTGTTAAGTTCAATTTGTTGAGTTTGATTTCTGGTACCCATTTGTTGATCTTTGCTACTTGGTGAGTATTGCTCTTGGCGGGCTCTCTGGCAATATCGTGTGATGGTTGTTCTTGTTTGAAACATTTGCATGATTACGTCCTTAGTATGGTTGAGGATTGTTCAGTACTGAAATTTTTAGTGTCTGAAAATTAAGAGCCAAACTTGATTTAGGATTTTCATTGACTATTTCAGACAATTTAGAAACAGACATGCTTTCTTTCTCTTGTCTGAAACAGAGTCAGACATGCATTCTTTCTCTTGTGGTAGTGGTTCTATTAATCAGATTAGCCAGGCTAGTTTGTTAAATGGACATTTCAGACGAGCCGTAATAGTTGAAGTTCTGCCAGATTTCTGAACTTTTATAGTTAAATCAAATGGCCTTTCTAATATTTCTGTATTATTTTTGGTTTAGACTTCAGGAAAGCTTGTGGTCTACAATGTCAGACAAAGAGGAAGGAGAAGAGAATACTAGTCATGGAAACGATTGGGAAGTTGTGTCACTTACGGCTTCAGCATATGCTGCTTCTCCTGGTCCAAAAGGGATGGAGTTGAAAGATGATGACAAGGGAGCTACTCACTATGAGGCAGAAACATCTTATCCTCTGTTCATGTCTCGCCACTTCACTTTCCCTCTAAGCGAGCATGAGAATCTACCATTGGAACAAAGTGAAGCTGAGACACGTGAAGATAAGTTAAGCAAGAAGATCGACTTTGGATTTGGTCTTGAAGAAGACGCCATGACACAGGTAAAAGAGGAAGGAGATTTGACTCTGAAGGGGTTGAACTTATCGAATGAGTTTTCAGGACTTCAATTTATCGGAGATAAAGGTAAAAAAGAAGAAAGCATCATATACAATGCAGCCATCAGTTCTCTGGATGATGAAAGAACAATTGGTGGATCGAATGTGTACGAGGAAAAGGAACCTATTCCGGATATTTCGCCTACTATAGGGGCTGCTAAAGATGACAAGCATGAAGAACGAAACATCCCCTGTGAAGCTTGGTGGAGAAGAAGTGCGGCTTCCTTGTACGCACATGCGAAAGAGGCCAATTCATTTTGGTCGATTTTCATTGCTGCCACTGTGATGGGCCTCATAGTCCTCGGCCAACAGTGGCGACAAGAGAGGTGGCAGGTTTTGCAGATTAAGTGGCAATCCAGCATTGGGAAATGAGGTAAGTTACTCTTCAAGAAATTGGCAGCAATTAGTTAGTTTCCAGTTGATGAGAATTTCCGTCTGAATTAAGGATTCCCCACAATTATTTACTCGTGGTTCCTTTCATAGATCTGAGAAGTTAGCATTCTCATATTCTTTTACATTCTATAATCTATAGGTGTTCCCTTCCCTGTGCATGTGGATACGCAGTCATGTTAAAAACAACCAAAAGGTATCACATATGGCAACACAGACATGTAATCATCCATTTCTCTGTTAGCTCTGATGTATTTGCGTGGAAATGGATGTTGACCCACTGAGCAATTTCAACTTGGTCATAATATAAACAAGTTTTCCAATTTACCATTTATGGGGAGAGAGTTTACCAGATACACATCTGTCTGAATAGAAGAAGCAGAACACGTGTCTGTGTGTGTGTGTATATATATATATGTTAGCATTCATTGCTAGTAGTAGTAACACATGGGTAGTCCATTTGATTGCAGAAAGCTGGAAGGAGAATGGGCCCAATCCCGTTTGGATGGCGACAATGATTGATTCGATAATAATGATGATATAAAGAAAAAGGAGAGGTTGTATAGCAAAGTATGTGTTTGCATGTAGCCCTGTATCATTCCCCTGTTTCCTGTACAAGTTCCGTCTCTTTTGTTTCGAACAACGTATATGGGTTTGTGTCGTGAATGTTGAATATTTATGTACTTTGTTATGTATATATTGGTTTCTCCATGGGTTTCTTCACATGTTGCCATCTACATGCATGATTTATCCTTCGCATTTAATACGAAACGAATGGCATATATATAAAAACTCCATTAGCTAAGCTAGCAAACAGAGACGAAGGTATTTAATGTAGATGCATACCGATGCAGACGCACAATCAATGAATGAGAGGATTCAGGTATTGGAGCATAAAGCAAATGCATATATATAGAGATACAGAGTTTACGGTGAGAAGAAGAGAGAAAAACATTCTCAAACCTTTTGCAGATTTTTTTTTTCTCCTTTTAAGCCTTCCATGTGCTTATGTTTAATGCCAATGGCACTGCGGCTGCTAATCGGGTTGCTTTTGTTTAGATTTTGTTTTGGGAGGCATTCTTAAGAAGTGAGTTTACTGGCCCATGGGCACTGTCCGTTGGCTTAGTCGAAAACCTTCTCTCCGGTAGCAAAGAAGTTCCATACCAACGTTCCGACAATGTACAGTGCAACTGCTACTTTGAACACATCGTCCCATGTACCTACACATGTAGCCAAGCGCAAACTCCGGATGGTTATAAACAAAAGAAACGTTAAGAAGCCATTATTCTAAGCCATAATGGTATGCACCTCGTTGGAGAATGTAGCCAGTAGCTGCGGTGCCAAACACACCAGCTAGCACTCCTGCTGTGTTCGACAGTCCCAACAGTACACCCTGCATTTGATTTTCCTTTTTTAGGAGCAGTCATTATGAAAAATCCTCCTTCAAATAGTAATACTAACGGAACTGAGGCAGAAACAACAGATGAACACAGGATAATATCAAGGGATAACATATATAAGAGATTGTGATATCTCACTGCATAGCGCGGCCCAATGTCTTGGTGATTCGAATAGAGACCCGATTGAGAGAACGCATCAGAGCCCTGCCGGGACAACATGAATTCATACTCTTTGTCAGATTTGAGAATTTTGACCCACCATCACCACCTTTTCGTGCATACATTGAATTAAAGGTGAATGTGAGCTGAGGAGCCACTAAAAAAACATGAACAAGCCATCTTTTAATCTCTGGCCTCTGCTCATCACGAGACAACTACCAGATGAGATTATGGATATGAGCAGCCTCTCAGCATGAGAATCGTTTCACCCACAACAACCGACGAAGATACGAAAAGATGAGAACATAACTAACAGCGACGGTGAGGGGTAAAGAAGGTGACAAACCTGACTGCATGCCATGCACAGAACAGCCATTGCCGGAGTTTTGACATGGCTTAGCTGTGTCAGGAAGAAGGCGGGGCCCAGAAAACCGATTGATTGCATTATCTGCAACATTTGAGGTTTTATTAGCAGAAACTATTTTGGTTGTGTTGAGCCCAATCATAACTGGCTTATGAGACTAAATTATCACTACAGAATTCATTTTCATTCCTTTTATGGAAACCATCGACACGGCACAGAACATTGGTGTATCACGTTTGAGCATAACACCACACAGGAAATGAGAAGAGACACATCGACAGGAGACCAGAATAAAGTACTCTCTTGCCTTGCGAACTGCTGTTATGGAAAGACCTTTGCTCACGAGAGTATCAGCAATCCACCCTCCAAGATTTGCAAAAACAGCCATTGTTAACCATGGCAAGACGCAAAAGAGCCCTGATTCAGTGAGGTTGAACTTCAACACCTGGAACAGGATCAAGGCGGAAGCATACAGCGACAAATTTTATTTACTCGTTAAAATAAAAACCGTTAAGCCACGTGGAAATAAGTGGAGTCATTACGTGCCTGATTGTAATATGTGGGCATCCATGTAAGAAGTATGAATGTTCCCCAGTTATGACAAAAGTGGGAGATTATGAGAGCCCAGACAGGGGCTTTGGATAGTATAAGCTTCCATGGAATGACCGTAACTGGTTCCCGCGGTTTGCTACCACCAAGTATGACCTTCTTTTCTTCTTCAGTTAGGTTTGGGTCATCTTTAGGAGAGCTATATGCCTGTGGTGTAGAAAATATTAGTTTTGACTTTTGGTGAGTTCCAACTCTATGTCAGAATCTCAGCTGCTATCATGGAAGAAGATCTCATACATATTTTAGCCATAGTGCAAACCATATACTTCCAAGGGAACCGAAAGAATAGAAAACAGATGGCCATCCGAACTTGTGGATTAGTACAGGAGAGAACGCCAATCCTGTAACAGAGCCGAGGTACATGCCACTGTACACGAGAGCAAGTGATCTGCTTCTCTCTGAGACAGGGATCCATTTAGAAAGCATGTTGTTCATAGCAGGCATAGCAACACCCTGAAGAAAATAGTAGAAAGGATCTACCAGTGAGAAGAGGTCAAGTCTGATCATAAGCAGAGGGAAAAAACAATAATACAGCAGATGTCAACCTCGCCAATGCCCATGAACGCACGCATGGTAAGCAAAAATGGGAGACCGAGTCTAGCAGCAATAGGTGTCAGAACTGTGGCAATGGACCACCACACGACACCGAAACCCAAAACTAGCTTCCCGCCAATCTTATCTGCCCATATGCCTCCCAGAATCTGTGTTCAAGAAAAACACACAAAATTGCATAGTTAGACTGCAATATGAAAATAACTTGGAACTTTTTCCAAATGCAAAATAACATCAATCCTTCAGAGACGAACTGAATCAAACCTGTGTGAGCAGATACCCCCAGAAGAAAGAAGACTGGATTAAGCCAACTGTCGCACTGTTCCAGTTAAATTGTTGTGACATGGGAAGAATTGCAATGCTCATGTTTACCTGCAACAAGCATCTTATTTAGCTCTCAGATGCAATATACAGCTACGATAGAACATCGAAACTTAGAGACGAGCAATAGAAAAGAATATACTGCACATTTTCATTCAAAGAGCAAGAAAAGCCTTACACGGTCCATATTGCACAGAAGAAACGAGGCGAAACATAACAATACAATCACCCAACGCTTGGGAAATAGCTGCCACCAAGGAGACGCATCCTGCAGACTTCCTTCAACCAAAACAGCCTCTGCCGATCCATCAGCTGACTGCAGTGATTCCATATTTGTTTCCGTGATATCGTGCTCTTCTGATTTGTAGTAAGCACGAGATCTATTCAGCTTCGCTATCCTGCATTGCTTGACACTGTTCTTAAAACCAACGCTATGGTTTATTCTTGGTTGGAGAAAACTTCCAACTCTTCTACTGACTACCAATTCATGGCCTAAACTAGCTCGCAGAGAGAGGTGATGAGGTTGGCGTCCAATGCACAGTGCTACAATTGAGAACAGCTTTAGTATAAATCACTAAGAACATAAGAAGAGTGAGAGAAAGCAGGATAATACCATTTGAGATTTGAGTGCTGAACTCCTGGTTAAGCATATTTCTCACGGTATACTCTGAACCGGTGATAGATAGCCTTTTCCTCTCATTAAGCCGAACAGATCTTTCTTTGTGATAAATATTACCTACAAAAGTATGCCAATCAGCAAAATGTGATCCTTCCAAATGTTGAGGAAATAAATGAGTTTGAGTCAAAAGACAAAACTGGGAAGGAACCAACGGACAAATCAGACATGGAGACTAAAGGAAACAACAATCACGGATGAACAACATCAGGCCATGATCAAAGACTATTGCCTTCTCTACATACTCCAATATTTACTTACCTAAATATACATATTCTGTAATCTGTAGCTTTCCTTTTATATATGTAATAGACGCTGTATATATCTAAGTGCAGAGATATGAACGAGAAAGACAGAGCACTTTTTGCAATTCTACAGTTCTTGAATCATCCCTAGAACAAAAGTTCCTTTGCTCTGATTCTCAAACTCTTGCTTTCTTTACCAAATGCCAAAGTTGTGCAATTGAGTGAAGCTTATCGGTGCAGGACACAACTGGCAGCGGACCTTAAAGAACAATGAACTTGAACTAGATAAGATAATTCAATCGTCGAAATCTTCAAAACATTAAAAACAAGATATCAAATTAAGACAATGCCAATGCCGTGACAATAATCAAGAACCACATCAAAGAACGCAGTAACAGTTCGGCTGCGTAACAATAGTCAAGCAAAATTGGCTGCTAGTTTGCTATATGTACATCGCCTCCAATGATATAATTCAAGTGAAAAAGCTAAAACTAAAACCCTAGCAGATTGAAACGGTTATTTCAACTCAGACATGCAGCTCGGAAAAATTCATAACTACAGTAAAATCGAATGAATCTCAAGGATGCAAATGATGAGTCAAGATCCACTTCTGAAGATCCCATAAATGCAGCTGAAGCTCAGACACTAAATCTCACGCAAACGACTGAAAACCAAATACGATACGAGCAAAGACAGCAGCGAGATACCTGAGCCGATGAAGTTCCTGTTAGAAATCAAGCCTCCGATAGCCATGTTGTTTGCTTCAAGACCAAAACTCAGTCGCAGAACAGGGAAGCTAAAGTGAAACAGAGAAATTTCAAGCTCCTTCCATTGGTATATTTGAATCGATAGACGAAGAAAGGATAAAGCGGAGCTTCAGCTTTTTTTTTTCAGAAGCGGGAAAATTCCCAGTGGCCTTAGGAGGAAGAAGAGTAAAGGGGGGTCGAGAAGATGACACGTGGCACATCATCCTCTTCTCGTTGGAACCTCCGTTGATATTGAATGACAAATGTACCCCTACACCCAGGAAACTCCACGAGTCCACGGGCAGTTTCCCCGTGGTTAAACAGTAAATAACTGGACAAGATAGGGATAGTGTCGGAAGTTTCGTGCAGAAGGCATCTGATCCGCAACTGCCGAAGATGACCTCAACATCTCAGGCAAACCAAAAAGAAATTTGTTTTTTTTTTCGTATATATAAATTCTAAAGTTCCAATTTTCATATTTAAACCGTACTGGTACTTTTTTTTCGTTTTATTTATAACATATTATATTTAAACCTTAATTGGAGTTCTATTTTACTTCGACGAGACGGCCGTCGTGGAATATTATGTTGTTTTTTGGTATGGGTGTAAAACAGGTGGGTTCAGTCCGGATTGACCGAATCTCGATCTCAAAATTGTTGAGTTCAATTCAGTTCGGTCAATTTTTTTAGTGAACTGAAAAACATTTGGTTCTGTCTAACTCATTTTAGGACGCGAGTGAAACGAGGTAATTCGCGAATCCAATACCTAATTAAAGAAATATAATTTAAATTTTGTTAGTCATATATATATAATAAATTAAATATTCTAAAATAAGATAAAAGAATAGATATTATAATAAAAAGTTATTAAATATAATAAAAATATTAAAAACATTAAAAATAAAGAAAAGAAATATTTTTTTGTTTCGCGAACCAGTACATGACGGGGTGACGCATTCGGTAAAATATGGTTCACTTGCGACGGAGCCGTACACATTTTGACACCCTATTCTTGAGGTGGTCTAAGGGTGGCCTTGATGTATCCTTCCCGTGTTTAAATGGGCAAAGAGAACACAGAGCTGAACACGTAACGTAACCTTTCAACCGTATCATCAATAAAACCCAATGTAAAAGCTAATTATTTTATAAAGTAAGATTTCTTTGTCATAAACAACATGAAGAGGGAAAAAACACATTAATACATTCAAGACACATATAATGCATAATGTACATTTCGTATTTGTCCACCAAAACTTCGTTTCCGTTTGCTTATCAATAATTCTTTTTTAAAATATCTTTTATATATCCTTATTCTAAATGGTCAATGTTAACCCAATGAATATCCGTAATCCGTATTGGGTCTAATAAGACTGTTCTCAAGCCCAAACATAAGGAGAATATGGCAAGGAAGGGTACACGAGACAGAAGCAGATTGTTTTCTTTTCTTCATACGACGTCGTTTCACAGTTTCCTTTTAAAAACCGAAAAAAAACAGCCATCCGACGTCGTTTTACTTGAACAGTCGGCCCCCACAGATTCGCATCAACAATTAGTTGTAGCTAGATCTGCTTTAGGCTTTATGGTAGGGGAAAATGTATATATGTAATGATGTGTAGAACGAGGACTCGTTACAAACATTGATGTTGAAGGGGAAAATGAAATATGACAAAAGGATCCTTTTTTTTTTTTGTCAAATCCCTGACCTAAAAGCTGTTAATATAAACAACCAACTGCTTTGCTACTTGATAATATTATGATTGGGACGGTTGGAGCCGAACATGAGGGCACGGTCTGTCAGGCTCCCCTATTGTCCAGAGAGTTTTGAGATCCCCTCTTTTGTGCCCTAATAAAATGAGAGTACCTGAAACCATACGTGTTCTTTTCATTAGACTTGGAACTCTCTCTCTCTCTCTCAAAAAGAACAACACAGAAGATAGACAACAACAACAACAACAGTCTGATCATAAATTCCCAATTATGCTCTCCCTTTGATCACACATGACTCTCGTTGAAATGAAAAGCCACAAGACCCGAAATCTCTCATGTTGCGATTACTGATTAGGACTCGAGTGCTGAAAGAAAAATAAAATTCTATGCAATGTTTGAATATATACGCCATATGTTTACTTGTGGGGGTGAGGACTTACCAAGCGTAAATGGGACGATGTAAAGCAAAGCCGGCTGCCCATGTCCGTCCATCAAGTTCAACGCAACATATGTGACGAGGAGACCTTCCAAGGGTTAACAGAAATTCGAGTTAGTTTCTTCCGAGGAACATTATCCACGAAAGATGATTGGATGACCAACTTATCAAACACATCGATGGTGAGTAGAAATAGTGTGAACTATATTTTAGTTATTATTATGACCAGCCATGTCATGTTGTAAAAGATCTCGTACCGAAACCATAAGCTGTCATTGCTCCCACGAAGTACCCTGATTTCAGACTCTTATTCGCCAGCCAGTCATATCTGCAGAACCGAGCCATATTTAATCCAATTAGATGAAACATTGAAGCACACCTTCTCCTGTGCTCAAAGATCAGAGAGAGAGCCCAGAGTAATGATAAACGATTTACTTTATTGTCAAACACATCAAATTTTACCCAAGGCATCCCTGCAATATTCTTACAAGCAGATAAGAAACAAGAAATGAATCCTTAGTACGATATTTACAAGAACGCTAACCTCAAAGCAAAGGTTACAAGCAGTCCGGGTAAGATGATGTCGCCAAATCCAATGATGCTGTAGCCACCCCATGGATCAAACATGCGTGGGATCTTCAGAAGCATCGGGATACCATCCTCTCCACTTCTGTCACCACGGGCTACCTATTATGAGTACGAAGGAAATATGGTGAAAGGCGAAAAAAATCCATAATGTCAAATGTGGACAAAGAACAGTTCATTGTTGGTGTATCTAACGTTGTCTTATAAGTCTACATATGAAAATGGTTTTCTGAACCCAAAAGTAAAAGAAAAGAAAAATTATTACTCACAACTATCATCACGCTCTCACGGAACCACCATTTCGAAACAAAGACCCAGAAGATGTCATACATGAAGGCACAGCTGAGAAGAACAAACCCAACCTGTTATCATATAAAACTTAACAAATGTTAGTCGGTGTTTAATTGTTACTAGAGACTAATATAAATAAAAGGCATGGCCCAGACTCCGGAGTCATCGCCATAAGTTTTTAAACATTGACAGGGAGCAAGTTTCCAGTCTAAGTGTCTAACGACTTGATTTGCATTTCCAATATCCGATTTCTATAGCTTGCATATCACGTGGGAAGTCCTCGAGAGCATCTTCGGAAATTATTAAATTGGGTATCAGAAGTGAACAACATGAGAATTATTAATCTTTAGTTTGTATTACTAAAACACATGGCATGATATCCAGAAATGTATTCGAATACCTTTAGATTAGGCACACGAACAATTTGAAGGACCGTGATTATCAATGAGATTCCCTGTTGGCAAAGAAGAATAATTAAGCTCTATCTTCTGTCATTAGTTACCACATTCACAAACAGGGAAAACCGGAAATTATATAACTGATGCTGGGACCTGATGCTTTATATACACACACAACACATGTATACAGGGAATAGTAGCATAGTAGGGGGGTTTAGTAGGGTGTAACCAAATGTAGATATGGATAAAATATTCAAATTTGAGTCACTAAAAATCAAAATAAATTAGCATGGAATCAATTCGGTTAAGAAAAAAAAGGGATCAAGAGAGATGAATGAAACTCGTGCTTACAAGGATATCTTGTCCTATCCAAGCAAAAGAGACGTCGCGGTAAACTGCCCATACCACAGCAAAAGTTATGCAAAAGGGACAGACAGCCAAAGTCAAGTATGACACTGCCCCCAGGAGCGGAACTTTGACATATGATTCTCCGATGCGGCGAAACCATCTGAGACTAAAATTAATTCATCGTCAGTTCCAGTTTTGCAATACCCTTTAACAAACGAATCCTGAAAAAATACACAAGCTAACACCCAAGTGTTCCTTTTCTCTAATATGTTTCATCATTTCATATGTATTCACAAAATAAAGTTGCATAAGCAATCCCTTATGCCCCGCCAATGCAAAAAGCATAAAAAATTTAAAAGCGATACATCCATGACCAAAACTTGAAATTTATTTGAAAAATTAAGACTGGCGTCCATTTTGGCATTTCCTTTGCATAGCTTTTAAAGAAGTAAAGATGTTCCAGGAGAAAATGCTAAACATATAAAATTTGTGAGAAAAAGCACACGTACCATGAGAGCAAAGCAATCAAACAAGTTTGCAGGCCCTGATAGCACCAAAAACTTTCAACATCAATCGAGGGACAAACCCCACAAAATGAATAGCACTAAATGCTCAATGGCTATGTAGAGCACACCTCTACACCACCAATGCAGAAGAGTACCACCAATACTTCGATAAACCAGAAGGACATCAGCTTGTAAAGCATGATCAGGAAACCCGAAGCAACCACTACAAACAAAATTGCTGATATCACGGTGACATCAACAACACCTCTAGAGCTGGTGGTTGCTGACTGCAAAAGTTCGTCTGAGCCATCCTGAAATTTTAAAATTACTCATAAAAGCTTGAGAAAAAAATAGTTCATCTTTCCTTTGTAGCGTAAAGCATTCTAGGAAGAAAGGTGTACAAACTTCGGATGCCAAAGACTACCTTTAGCAACTTATCCTGCTCAATAGCTGCTTCCCTGGCGGTCCATGCTGACCAATAAGAAGCACATAAGATCGTACCGACAGCCATAAGCCATAGAAACACCTCAGCCACATCAACCGCTGGGCGTTTTGGTGAGTACAGTTGCAAAGTAACTGCATAAATACAATCAGTAACACAATTGAGAGACAGAGAGAGATACAGAATTAAATAAAGTATGCAAGGACACTTATAACAAGTCTGGAAATGAAGAAGAGCAATCTTTGCATGTTGTCTAAAGATATATAACCGATACAAATTTGAGTTCAGAAGAAAAAAGTAACTAATGCACACCTGAATCGTTATTGTTCATATAGCTCTTCAGATTTCGGCCGGCATCAAAAGGCAGCATAACAACAGGAATGTGTATGTCCAAGTTAGTTTCATTATCTTCACAGACCATCTTGAAAAGCTCTGCAAATGAACACTTGACCCTTGTTAGGCTCTAGGGGAAAACCTGCCTCTTTTTTGTTACGAATTATCAACTAAGGAACCTTTCAGAATCAAGCATTTTGGTTTTGAGTTATTGACAAATTTTCAGTCAATGACCTGTACTGTTGTTTATGATAAGCATGGCCGAGGCACCAGCTGATTCTGCAATGTTCGCCTTGGTAGTGAAGCTACAGTTACCACGATGGACAAGAATGATCTCTCCAGTGAGCTGCCAAACGAAATGTATCCAATATCAAAACGGGAAATACACAAGTTAACACATTGGAATGCATGTTCCAAGAATAAAAGATAAAGTACATATCAACACAGGAGAGAACTTCGAATTTTCAACCTTATTTTTTGGTCTGCTGCAGCAATCAGGGGGATCTGCAATAGCAAGTCGGGTAAGAGTAGCATGTTTCTCCTTCGATTCCAAAGTTGGGCCAAACCTAGCCCCAACACCAACATACTCCACAGCTTCTACGCCATTAACTCGAGTTGGTACTTTGACCTATCCAACAAATTATGGCCGCATCATGCGCAAAGATGACCATAATATTTGAAAGGGCACATGGAGTCTCAAGACAAGGATCAATCTTAGCTACATGGCAACTAAAAGTCCTCTATGTTCTAGTTCGCAGATGTCCAACACGAAGCAAATGAACAAACGGAGACGGTTCCACAAAAATTACTGCGTCTTCAAGAAATAACAAACCCATAACTGTTCATGAACTTATTTATTCACGGAAAGAGAAACATCCAATTACGAATTAAGGCTTGGCACTGGCAGACAACTCTCTGCTGATCTTGCTGTGCGCAGACAGCATTTTACGAATCTGAATGCCACTGATTCTCAAATTAGAAGTTCCCAAACAATTCACTAAGTAAAATTATCAGAGATGACGACAACATCAAGAGAAATGGAAAATCAGAAGCAATAAACCGACTCCAATCAAACATGCTCAAAATATGTCCTCCTAAACAGAACTCCAACGCTGGAGAGACCCTTAACAAATCCTAATACCATATTTTCCACCCAAAATCAGAAAGAGACCTAGACCACCCTAACAACCAATATCAACAAGAGCAGCTCTAAAAAAAACAGTCTAAATCAAAGACATCAGCATGATAGGGTTCTTCCGGTCGAATTACTCACCAGCACAAAATTGTTGTCGCAGCCAGGTCTCTTCGGAAGCGTGTCGTCGTGGTGAACTATATCTCCAGCTGAAGCCCAACTGGCACTGTAGAGCAGCGCGAGGGGATACCATAAACAGAAGAGATCTCTTCGTGGACTCATATCCGACGGAAGGAAACGTTTAGGCTAGGGTTCCGAGAGGGAGGGAGAGGAGAGAGGAAGACGACGATGAAGAAGGGAGGGCAGGAAAGTACCAGGAACAAGAAAGGGGAAACTCTCGTGCTAGAGAGAGAAAATGAGGGGAAAAAATGAAAGCAGCACGAGAAGAGATGAGATGTGTCGTCCAAAAAAAAATATCAAAACGCCGGTAAACGGTGTGGTTATTACTGGACTTTTTCTCACTTTTTGCACAGACGAAATGCAACGCGCTTCAGGGAGGCGCGTGGGAGCGTGAGGTGGCGCATATGAAGGATCTGGTAAGGCTTATGTCCATCATTATTGATTGGTTTGTACGGGCGCATGTTTCTCAGTAATTTAAGAACGGAATGATCATATATATATATATCCATATATAAAAGGGCGGTGGTAAGATAAGAATAATGTCCATCATTTTATAAAATCATTTAAATCAACCATAATAATTATAATTTATAAACTCCTGTATTGTATACTATAAGGTATTTGAAAACAGAGACACCAACAACATTAACTTTATGTCAAGGGAAACACGTAAAGATATAAAATAAACAATTTTGTTTGGTGTGACATTTATTATAAATTTTAGGTGGTTGACGAACATCAACATATATACATATATAGATAGATACCTAAAGTATTATGATTTAATATTTTCACGTTAGAAAGTATAATAAAACAATACAGATCTTTAATTAGGGTGGGCAATTCTGTTCGTCGAACCGATTAATTATATTTAGATTAATATATAAAAATTCGAACGATACAAAATTAAAGATACTGCACAGTTAAAAAATCGTATAAAAAATATAAAATGGTTTTCGATCTTTTTTCAATTTTTATATTTATTAACTAAAAATATTAAATATTAATATTTACTAATGATATTTATTTTGTATACAAATTATCATTATTGGACTCCATATAAAAATCTATTTATATTTTATAAATTTATTTGATTTCATTAATTTGAATATTAAAATTCTCAAAATAAACTCTATTTCTTCAATTTCCCTCACTCCTCCCTAGTAAACCTAATGTGGTTGCATCACAGTATATATATATATTTTATTTTGTTGTCCAAAATTATTCAGTTGGATTTGTTTAAATCTTACCATAAAAACCTGATCCGTTTTGAACAGTCTCGATTTAAGTATTGTTTGGTATTTATGTAGTAAAATTATACAACGATATTAATACTGAAATTAATTAATATACATTATTAATTTAGTGAAAATTTTATAATATGGAACAAAGTGGGGTTGAATAGGAAGGCAGATGCGCGTGGACAAATTATACAATATTTTTAATGGTACGGGCTACCGGCTGAAAAAAATTTAAAATTATTAATGATTTAAAAATACCGAAAAAGGGATCCGTACCGTATGGACGGGACCGATAAGGCGGCACAGAACGATTAATTTATTCATTTAAAAATCAGGTGTGGTCGACCTCACACTAATGTCAGATATATCCACCAGTTATGACGCTCCACGTGTGGGTGTTCTCTTAGTACACCTGTCGTGCCCTCGGTAGATAGAGTCAGGTGGTATAGAGATTAGATTGATAACACACAACAATGGCACAAAGGGAACGGAATAAAAGGAGAGAGGTCAAAATGTAGATTTGGTAGAATATATAATGGGTGGAAATTAGAAATTCAAGAAATAAAGGGGAGAAAGTGAATTGGGCCGGCGCATAGCATACTGTAAATGTAGATGTTGTTAGGATATAAGAAATGTGGTATACACGTACGTACGTACGTAACTATTACAAAAATCGCCAAAGATTCCCTCACACGCTGCACCGATTGACCAATTCTTTGAACTCGCTAAACGCCGCCGTTTCTATTTTCTTGCCACGAATTAGTTCAGCATTTGCCATTGTTTGCCTCTACGGCCCACTAACTAGGGGTGGACGTTTCGAGAAACGGTTCGGGTTTGGGACGGAATAAATCGGTTCGGTTCTTTCGGTTTTACAGAAATAGGTACCAATCGGATTATTTATTGTATTCGGTTCGGTTCCGTTCGGTTCCGGATTTTATTAAAAAAATGATAGATTTTCTTTAAAAATATTCGGTTTTTCGAGATTTTTAAAGTTCGCTTCGGTTCGGTTCCGGAAAAATTCGGTTCTCTACAAATGATACCATTCGGAAAATAACATCGGTTTCGGGTCGAAAAAAATACCGTTTTAACGGTTCGATTCGGTCTGATTCCGAATAACCGAACCGAAACGCCCAGCCCTAATATCCTCCCATTGTTTTTTATCTCTCTGTGACTGAGAAAATATCTGCTAGAAAACGGCATGCAGTCTCCGTTCAATGTATGAAAACGGCGATGTTTCCCATCCCCACTTTGTGTCCCTCTCTACGACATCGTTTCGTCTAGACAGAAACGCCACCGTAAACCCAAATAGCCGCCAGGAGGACAGCGTTTATGATATCTGCGTATCTCACAGGGAGATTGAGAGACATACACCTCGGAGGAGCAACAGCAAAGCATCTGATCCTCTCCCCTTATGGCCAACACTACATCACCATGCTCATGGTCCAAGTATATCATGTAAGGTGTAACCTGACTTGTGTCAGGTCATTGTCTTTTCTCACTTCAACCTGGTCGGGGTTAATGTCATAACCGCCTGGAGCCGTCCATATGGGGTTATGGAGATCATCTTCATATACGGCTAGAATTAAGCGGCAGAGTCCGGGAACCGATTCAAACTCTTATATTGTGGCTAATCCCCAGTTTTGGCTCTCGTGGCCTGCAGTGTAAAGGCATTTCCTCCACAACCGATGGGCACAACTCAAGTACACATTCAAGTATGGGAACGCCATACAGTATTGACATGGACACCTATGAAGCAAGCATCAGATTCCAAGACTCAAATGCGAATTTGATGCCTGCTCATTATGAAGCCCAATTTATTTTTCGCAATGAGAATCTGAATGATGGATGTTGTCCAGATGTTGTAGTTGGTCTCATCAACAAGCTTAGATGTTGTAGTTGGACTCAGGGTGAGGCTCGATGAATCAACAGTATGGAGATAGAGAGGGTTCGAGTAAGGGTCGAGAGAAGCAGGAGGACCGACATCAGTAAGAGTGGATTCAGGTTCAGCCGATGAGGCCATGA